ATATTTTAAAAATTTCAATTTTAAATGGTTTATTTGCATTGCTAAAAGTATAAGTTTCTATATTAAAATATTTCTTTAGGTTCTATTTATTATACTGAGCTACTTCTACTACCTTCAGATAACACATATATATATAGACTAGAAATTAACTAAATTAATAAAATAAATACATTAAAAAAATGCAGCAAATGAGTTGCGTAACTTTCCCGGCAACAAAGTTAAACTTGCGTGCGGCTCCATCTGTTATATAAATTTTACTTTATAAACTTTTTTATATTATTAATTATTATAAATGCCAAAAAGCTTAAGAGTAGAAAGGAGTTTTATTTAAAAATTTTAAATGATAATAATAAGTAAAATCTTCATTAAGTCAAGCCATCCCACTCGAGATGTGATACGTGATCCCCCCTCTCTATCTCCTCAACCCGTTGACCTTTAACCGCCAAAATTTAACAGTATACACGCCTCTAATGCACAAATTTCCTTGCAAAATTTCAGAAATTTTCGACAAAAAATGAAGGAGTTATTAAGCTTCAAATTGGGTGAACAAAATCGTACTCCTACACATACACACACTGACACCCATACTTATAGTTAATATATCTTACGACATTAATATTGTTACTATGGTAGCATTTAAATATTTAACAAGAAAAATATCAAAATGGAATCTAAAGATTTGCATTACTGTTCTAATGACACGAAAGAAACTCATGCTAACAAAGCCTATTACATATTTCATTATTACTAAAGTAGTTTGCGTGAAGTATGACAGTCACGTTTAATACTAAAAAAAGGAATTGGTGCTAAGGGAGCGTATGAAAAACTTTTAATGGAACTTACACGATTGATAACGTTATTAGGTGGAATGTAAAGAAAAATGGTTACTCGAAACATTAATAAATATGTTTTATGATTGTTACTGTAAAGGAATGTGTCGTTAATAATTATTTAGAAAGTGAAATGTCAACTTCGTGACGAATCTATAAAGCAGCTGAAGTGAAATTTTCAACTTACTGTCAAGCTACTTGGAGGTGCAAAGGGGCAGGGCCGCCGTAAACGGGCGTGCAAGGCGTGCACCGCACGCGGGCGGCACGTCCGGGGGGCGGCAAAGAGCCTTTCTGGCAAGCTCAACATAGGTAATCGTAGTTAAACAGGGGGCGGCATAATCGGTATTGCACACGGGCGTTCAAACAGCTAGCGGCGCCCCTGCAAAGGGGCCCAAGCTGCTTATCTTTGAGGCCTCTTATATATTAAAAATTAAGAAAAACATTACTAAAAGACTTTATTTTATATCTTAAAATAATGAAATTTGTGAAGAATAACATTTCTACCCCATTTTTAATTGAAATTTGTAAGGAAATGTTAATAAACACTCTGGCTTCCAGTCTGCAAGGAAGATGGAAAGCCTTACGTTTACGCGAATTCGTTCAAATTTTTGTAAGAAATAATACAAAATTAAAAAAAATTAGATACAATAAATCATGAAAATTGTTAGATTTTAACATAAATGATAAATCTCTATGAGTGCTAGCCACCCATAGAGCATGCTAACCATCCATGGAGAGTGCTAGCCAACCATAGAGAGTTCTAGCTATTCATGGAGAGTAATTGCCACCTATAGTAAGTGCTACCCATCCATAAAGAATGTTAGCCACCCATATTCCTGACACATCCTCATCCGTAGAGGGTAAAAATGTGTCAAGAAGCATTCGAATTCTGAATGTATGTGATGAAGCTCAACATAAGGCCTATAGAAGAGACTTTACTTTTATTTTTGTTCTGTAGAGAGCATTACAGAGCACTACAGAAGTCAAAGGTCAAAGGTAATTTTCACGTGATGTCGAATTATATCTAAATATTGTGTTAATCTGTTTTAAAATTTATCTGTTATAAGTACAGATATATTGATATATTCCACTACACACAATTGTTATAAACAATTGACAAAAGAAAAAAATATTCCCAAATTAAGGCTATTGAAAATAATCATTTGAACTTTTACCTTTCTTTTCAATGTACAATAAATTTCTTAAAATTGAGTTGTCATTGTTATACAAGAAACAGAAATATCCCAGATAAAAATTAGAATAAATCACAAACAAAACATGTAACACGGGAACAATTTATTATCCGATATCTACACTCGTGAGACTCGTTCTTATGTTAACCGATGGGTTTACACTGAATACTTTTTTCTGAACTTACAAGCATTGTTCCGCGCCTAGTTTCTTTCAATATTTATTTTATTTTATTACTCATGCATTACACGAGAATTAACTATTATCTATTATACGAGAATTATCTATTTTTGCTCGAGTTTTTATTGTTATTGTACGGCGATTCATTTATTGTATATTATTATTATTATTATTATTATTATTATTATTGCATGGGCATTGCCTATTTTTATTTGAACTTTTTAATTATTTCGTGAGAACTGTCGCTTTTTGCTTAGGATTTTAAAAATTATTGCACGAAAATTACCCATTTTTGCTTGAATTTTTAAAGAAATTATTGCACGAAAATTACCCGTTTTTGCTTGAATTTTTAAAGAAATTATTGCACAAAAGTTACCCCTTTTTGCTTGAATTTTTAAAGAGATTATTGCACAAAAATGACCCATTTTTGCTTGAATTTTTAAAGAGATTATTGCACAGAAATTACCCATTTTTACTTGAATTTTTAAACAGATTATTGCACGAAAATTACCCGCTTTTGCTTAAATTTTTTAAAATTTGCCAACTTTTGCCTAATTTTCTTCCTTACTGCATTTACAATTTGTTTTTTTTTTCTTTTTACATTTGCCTATTATAGAAAGAAGAATGACTCGCAGAAAGCACTCAATTTGGGCCTTTTTTTCTTATTATTTAATTATTACTATTATTATTTTATTTTATATTAAACGAGACTGAAAGTGATTCTTATACAGTTTGCTGTTCATACACTAGAATCGAGGAAGATAAACACAACGTAATTTACTAATCTAGTGTACAAGAATGTAACGGATCAATAAGAATACACTAGTTACTGTGTAAAGAACACCAGCTGTAGTGTTAAGTTCTGTAGTGTGGAAATTAATGATAATGACGTATAAAAGTAGTTCTGTGGCATTTTCCCTGTTAAAAAAATAATAAAAAAAAAATATATATAAAAAATATGTTGTCGTTCTATTGGAGATTGTACAGATGACACGCTCATTTTTTCTCCTCTTATTGTTAGCTACAGTAACCTTGTTATCTCTTGTACATTGTTTAGTCGGGGTATTTTTTTTTTACCCCTCTAAAAATTATTATTATTTTTAGATTTTTAACAATAATAATCCTGCTTTATCTTATATCTATTTTTCTACTTTGTTCCCATATTGTTTAAAATAAAAATAAAAGGAAGTTAAGTAATTTAAGATAGCAAAGCCGTGACGAAAATGCATTATCTAGAGTTATTATTATTTTTTTTTTGTTTTTAACGCTTAGAAACGTGTTAAGATCGTTATAAAAGGGTTAGAAACTCTCGCTTATTTATGAAATTTATTTAAAATCGAATTTTATAACGGTTAGTAACCTCTTTAAACGAGTTTATTTCAACCCTATTTAATGAATACAACCTCGTTTTAGTGAATTACGAGCAGAGTTATTTATTCCTTTAATTTTGTATGTTGAACATGACCTCGTTTTAGTGAATTATTCCCATATATTTCATTATTATTCGCTTTAGTTGGAATATTTATCTTGTTATAATGAATTATATACACTAAAGTCGTTATAGTGAATTATATTTAGGGCCCTTAGGTAAATTATAACAAACATTTTGAATGTTATTTTACTAAGAAGCAATTTATTACTACTCATTTCGTTATAAATATATTTTTAATATTAATTATAACCAGAAAATATCTTAATATTTTCAATGTTCAATATGGAAAAGGTTAAGGATTAATGCTCTCTACCTGACAAAATTTTAACGTAATAAATTATAAAAATAAAAATTAATTATCTTTAAAAGGAAAAGCCATCAATTTAACTCCTTGAATAATAATAAATTATTGTTATTAAACAGTAATTTATTATAAAAAAAACATTTATAATAAATTAATAAAGTTAATTTTACTAATTTAGGAATTACAGGAGAAAAAAATATATTAGTTATTTATTATAAATACAAGTAAAACCTCTAAACAACGGACATTGACGGGAATACAGTCGACCCCCCTATAACACTGTTAATAATTCCGTTTTATATGAATTCCATGTTGTACGAGTCACTTAGATTTTACAAATACGTGAGCCGTTCACAGCCCGGCACACGTATTTGTAAAATCTAAGTGACTCGTAC